GTAATGATGAATAAATCCATTATAAACATTCATGCACAGAATTTTGCATGAAAGTATGTGTTTCCCTTGAGTAAAAATCCCTAGGAATGGGACTGAGGGATCAATGATAAGTATGTGTTTGACTTCATAACACATCACCACTGACACAAATTGAAAGAAGCATCTTTTCATGTGCTTCTTTGCCACTTACATATCTTCTTTGTTGATATTTCTATTCAAATTATTTTGCCTATTTTTTTTTTTTTTTTGCAGTGCTAAGGATTGGACTTGGGACTTTGCATATGTCAGCAAGCATTGATCATGGAGTTACATCCCCAGCCCTCTTTATTTTTAGACAGTCTTGCTAAGTTGTTAAGGTTGGCCTTAAACTTGAAATCTTCCTGCCTCAGCCTCCCCAGAAGCTGGAAATATAAGCTTGTGCTGCCATGCTCAGTTCATTTTGTTTATTTTTAATTGGAATTTTAAAGAACTCACTGAGTTCAGAGTAACGTATTCATATGTATTCTGGAGATGACTTTTAATGGATACACATTTTACACATATTTTCTCAAGCGATAGCTTGTGTTTTTATTTTAACAATGCCTTTTGAAGAGAAAAAATTTTAAATTTTGATGAAGTAAAAGTTATGCTTTTTTCCTATAGGTCATGTTTTCGTTGTCATCTGTCAGAATCCATCTATCACAACATTATTTTTCCTGCGATTTAGTCTAGAAGTTTTATAAAGTATAGATCTAGATCTGTTATCTATATTTACTAGACTTTTGTGTATGGTGTAAGATAAAGGTCAAGTTTCCTTTTGCAGATAGATATTCAGTTACCATTTTCTGAAAAGACTATTCTTTCTCTATTGAATCATCTCTGCTTCTTTGCTGAAAATCAGTTGACATATATGGATTGTGTTAGAATTTTTTTTAGAAGTTTTTTTTTTTTTTTTTTTTTTTTTTTCCAGTACTGGAGATCAAACTCTGGTCCTTGCACTTGCAAGACGGGCGGTGGAACCACTGAGCTAAATCCCCAGCCCTGTGTTAGAATTTTTAAATGAGACCTTTTATGCTGGGGCTATCAACTGCTCTTTCCTGGAGAGGAAAAAACTATCTCAGGGCCCATGGATAATGTTCTCACTATTTCCTAAGGATGAGTAAAGTCTTGAACAAGAAGCTCAGAGGAGGTACAGGCCTATAATCCTGGCTACTTGAGAGGCTGAAGGAGAAAGGTCACAAATTCAAGCCCAGCCTGGGTAACTTAGTGACTTAGCAAGAGTCTATCTCAAAATGAAGTAATAAAAAAGACTGTGGATGTAGTTGAGCACTTCTAGGTTCAATTAGACCTTACACCCCCTTGAAGTGAAGGAAACATATTATTGTATGTTATTAGCTGCCCTGCTCATTGTATATTGCTTGTGCCCAAACTCTAGGCAGTCCTGAATATTAAGAAGCCCTTCCATTTTTTTTCTTCAAAAATTTAAAAAAGTTTAGGACAAAGTGAATGTAATATATAATTTTAAGGGTATAGAACAAACACTGTAGTACCTATTTAAAACTTTTTAATTGTAATGAACAATTATTTATTTTAAAATCATGTTAGCTGGGGGGTTAGCTCAGTGGTTCTGCGTCTGCCTCTCAAGTGCAAGGTCCAGAGTTCGACCCCCGGTAACAAATAAATAAATGAATAAATAAATAAATAAAATAAAACGAATTCTTTAAAAATCATTCTATATAAAATGATACGTACATTTAGGAGTATTGCAGAATTTTTTCCTCTTACAGATTGTGACCTAGGTTTTTTTGTTGTTGTTCCTGGGGCTCAATTGATGGCCTTGGGCATGCTAGGCACATACTGTATTACTGAGCTACATCCCCAGTCGATGACCTAACTTTACTTAAGTCCCGCACATGCATTTTTAACATCAGAATCTTTCTAGCACTAGGACCACGGACTGCGTCTCTAACCCAGTGTTTTCAGAGCATATTAGCTTTGTTTTGTTCAATTCATGTTACTTGAAACCAAAACGTTTTGATTTTCTGTGTGAAGCTGTCCTCAACGATTTTATCACAAGCCATAAGTACTTATCTGTACAGCATTAGAGTTGTTGGCATTTTTATTCATGTTGAACTCAAGCATTTATGATTTTTACCTCATAATTATTTAGTGTTATTTTTGTTGTTTTAAAAACATATCTAGGATTGTATATATCTAGGATTGTATTGTACCTCCTTCAGTTCTCCCCATCAAGGAGGAAGGAAAGAGAAGAGAGGAAAGTAAGGCAGTAAAAGCCCTAGGACTCAAAGTGCAGGAAAGGGTTGTGCAAAGGGGGATTTGAAAGATAAAGATTGATAAAGGGGGGAAATTCGCTCCCCAAAATGTCTTCCTGTGACAGGAGAGTGAGCCTTGGGAGTTGTATTAAAGCATAATTGGCTGCTGGGTGACCATAGCCTAAACCTCTAGGGTTTTCTTCTTTGCCTAATGAGGCAGATAGCTCACCAATATCTCTCACAAGTAGAATGGGGCCTATATAGTATTTTGGTTGCTCATCAGTAAGTCCTTGGCTTTGTTCTTGCCCTCTGATGTCTGTGTGAAGTGCAAAGCAGTGAATGTGCACCTTTTTGCTTATGTGCTTCTCTTCATGTTCCTGGGGAGACCAGGAAGTGTTATTTGTGGTGTAAATTTGCCTTTGCCTTATGAGTCCTTTTCACTTCCCACTGGAAGATCCTTTTTGCAGTAAAGGTAAGCTGACATGGGTTTTAGACTTTTCTGACCTATTCCATCTTGCCTGTCTTATACAAAGTAGGTGTGTGTGTTTTCAGGGGGGACAAGGAGTTGGTGTGAATGTTTACAGTTGGTCATCTGTAGATAGAGTCTAATCAGGAGACACCATGCATAGCAAAAGTTGAAATTAACAATCATGAACTATTAAAAGGGATTGTACTAATAGGAGATTGGCTAGTTAAAGGTAAAAAATGACTCTGAAGAATACAGCAACCTGATAAAGATTCTGAGGGCTGAGATAGCATCTAAGGAAGAAATCCTTCACCTTGGCTGACACCCAGATCTAGACCTAGCTGGAGAGATCTAGACCATAGCCCACTGGATGGAGAAGTCTGCTGAGGCCCTGTGTGGGATCCATCTCTGAGTTACAGAAGGGTGGGAAGGGGAAGGTTGGGTGCCCAAGGAGAGGTGCTAGTCCTTGGCTAATTGCAAAGCTCCCTGAAGGGATGTTGGAGGAGCCATTTGTTGGAATTCATAGAGCTTATGGTACTCCGGTTAGAGAAGGTGATGGAGAATTTGCCCTGACTCCTGACTACTGAACACCACTACCCTCTGTGCTCTGCAGGTATGGGTACTGAAGGAGTCAAATCCTTAGGAAACTAGGGCTGCAAAAGCCAGTGAGCACAGCAGAAGGCTGTGAAGAGGAGAAAACCAGCACCAGGACAAAAGTCCAGTGCCCTGTAGCACGTCATAACTGTGGCATGGGACTGGAGACAACCAAAGTTTTCCTGCTAAGAAAGAAAGCAGCAGTAGTTTCATTAGTTGCTGTCCAGGCTCTGGGTGGAGGTTAGGTGCTGGTGTGCATTCCATTGTTATCTGTAGGCCAAAAGTTCTTGTATCTGGGTAGAGATAAGGGACATTCTCTAGCTTTTCTTTGTATTTAATACATCCAATAGCCAGATAAAATTGGATTATTTTGTCCTAGCTCAGTGAGGATCATTCAGGGCACAGGTAATAGTACCTGCTGGTTCTTGCAGTAATAACCTCAGGCTAGTGGAGAGGCAGTCTTTCAGTGCTATAGTCCTCTCCATAACATCATCTAGTACTGGGGAGGAGAGAGTGGGCACTCAGAAGGAGATGCATCAGGGGACTGGTGCTTCTGGTCATGGAGACCAAAGATACTTCAGGAAGTCTCCACAGAATTCCAAGGTGATTAAAGCTGGCTGCCCCAGGGAACCACTCCCGGGAAATACAATTCACGATGACACCATGCATCTTCAAGACCAAGACTTGTGTTTCTCCAGTTTGGCCAATTTACTCACCACTGAGGAAAGGGTATCTTCCTAGCCCTCAATGTCCCCTGCCAGCTCCTCATAACCACCCCATGTCCAAAGCATTCTGGCCTAGTTTCCAATCACTTTTCTACTCAAGTCAAATCATGGCTTTCTACTCCCACTTGCTTGAGAATACTGGGTTCGCGTGGTGGAATTTTCAGTATAAGATGTGTATATTGCTGCTCCTTTGTGTGCAGAAAAGAAGTGAAGCCAGCAAGAATGAGTAGCTGTGAGATCCTCAGGTGCTGGTAAGAAATGATAGCACTTGAAGTTTTAAAGTAAGCTATCTATAAGCTTACCCAAGAAAAGCTAGACATTAGTAGGAATAATGTGCACGGTGTGCACAGCAGCATGACTCAGGAGGGAGTGAGCTCAGTACTACAATATCAGCAGTGTCTGGGGGTTCTGGAGCCCACACTGGGAACCCTGGGGCTGATTCCTCCATCTGAGCATATGGTTCAGAGGCTGCAGCATTTTTCAGCTTCTCCCAGCCCAATAACAACACAGCTCTTTCAGAGGCTACGGCACATTATATATCCCATTAATTATCTTTATAGGACCAACCCCCCAAAACATTTATTAAGTGCTTATGGTATGCTAAGTGCTAGCCTATAAATGATATGTTGGAGCATAGGAGCTTACATCAAGGGACTCACTAGGGAAAACAAGGAGATAAGGAACTAGCCCGATAAACATCCTCATGAAAACATTTGTTAAATAATCCAGGCCTAATCGCTCAAGTAATAGACTGCTTTTTCCTCTCTTTTGTTGACTGAGAGGACAAAATGATAAATGGCAGCAAAGAGGCCATATGCAAAGTTGGGGCAAGAACAAGGCAATGAGTGAAGTTGGAGGTATCAAAGCAGCAATGAGATAACTGGAATAATAGAAAAGAAGCTGCTTAACATTAGCCTGGTTGTCTGATTCTTTCATTCTCACTCCAGTGTCTTCCTTTACCAGCAGTCAAAGTTCACACTGTCGCCAATCAGAAGTCTCCTCTGATCCAAGACCTTCTCATCTGATCTGTGGGAAAGTGCAACGTGGCAGAAGCACTCTGGACATTGTAGGAAAGGAGGGTCAGCCATATCCAGTGGTGGCATCAACGTGTTCTACTGTGGCTCAACTGGGAGCTGGAAAGGATCAAGAAGTCAGAGAAACGGTAAATGAGAAAAACCTTTTCCTCTTTCACTCTAGCATTAGGAATAAAAGGCTTCAAGAAAATTATTTATATAAGGGAAAAGACTGTTCTATTACAAGGATTTGTTTTTCCATTTGTATTCATTCCCCGCCATCAACACACACACACACACACACACACACACACACACACACACACACACACACGTATGCACCGTGTCTCCAATCTAATGTTCCACTGAGGGATAGAGGACAATTATCTTCATAAAAGTACTTTATGCTAGGATGCAATGGAGGTTACTTTAAAATGCAGTTGTCGGGCAGGGGGTTTAGCTCAGTGGTGCCGCTGCCTGCTTTGCAGGTCCTGAGTGTGATCCCCGGTACAAAAAAAAAAAAAAAAAGCAATAGTCTATTATAGTCCATTATAATAGTCAATATCTTCAGTTGTGTATTACTTACCAAGTAATAGATGTTTTCAGGTAGAATTTACTTTGACCTAATCCTTTAAAAGGCACCTGCAGCTAAGCAATATACAAAGGCAGGTATGTTTTCTAAAATGGACTCTTTCTTAGATGTTTTTGCTTTAAAAAAATGCTAATCATAGCTAAATGCTTGTGTTTCAAAATTCTTTACTGACCCACTCTGTCTCAGGAAAGTATTGACAGCATAGCATTGAATTAATTTCCACAATAACTAAAATCATAAACACCAGATTATAGCTTTGTTACGGAATGTAGCAGATGGGAGAAAGAGATGAAAAATAAAAAGTTCTCTTCAAAACATGGCATTAAAAAAATAGTTATTAAAACTGGTAGTGAAATGAATACAGAGTAGTTTTGTAGTAAAGTTGCACAATATTTACTTTGTTTCCTATAAAGAAAGAATATTTCTAAGAAATGCTTGGTCCCCAAATTTTATGTCACTAGCTCATAAGAATTTGAAAGAATAAAGTAAAAACTTTTGGAAAAATCTCACTGAGTGGAGCTACTCTGTTAGATTGTTTCTATGTGTGTTACCTAATGACTCCTACTATAGAATTGCTTTTTTTAGGTGCTAAACCTAGAAGATACTGGATTTGCTTTTAGTAAGAACAAAACAATCCATTGGATGCCAGAATTTAATTTGTTTGTGGTTGTTGTTGGAGACAGGTGATGCCTAGCGTTTGTTGCTTCTGGTTTGAGACAGAAAGAACCAGGGAAAGGGAAGAAGAAACATCCAGTCCTGATGATGGGAATTAGGAAATGCAGCCACCTACAAGATGGGGTTTCTTATTCTCTGTGCTTTCTGAAACAAAGACAACGTGTTTAATCTTAGATGGCTTCTTGTTCTGGATTAAAAGGCTTGTAGAGAGGAGGGGGCAGCAAAGCAGTGGCATCCAGTGGTTTGTGTCTAGTACCTTGGCTGAAAGCTTTTCTTTTGAACTTAGAAGACTGAAGACCTCTGGATCCTGAAGGTTCCCAGAAACACATTGAGGTGGGAACAAGAGTGCTAGTCATCTGTTCGCTAGAGCTAACACAGCATTAGCTGGATTGATGTAATTCTGAAAATTGAAGCAAATGGTCTAAGTCATTCTACCAAAATATGCTTTTATTTCTACGTATGGCTGATGCAAAAGTGTTCTTTCTGACTTGTCTCAGAAACAACAAAAGTAATTTTATAGGTATAGATGATAATTAAAATATATTTATTTGAAAAAGTGTATTAACGTAGATGAAGCTATTGGAATGCATTTACCCATAGTGTTTACCAGGGGCAGACAACAATGTTTAAAAGATTTTGATGGCAAAATTGTGGAATCAAGTGTGAAATCTGTATGTACCTAACCTAAGTGGTAACAGTCATGATAATGACCCACAAAAGGGCTCTTTGCACCAATGTGTTTAACCTTCCAAGAATCTCACATGTTGCTTTAATTTTCTTTTTTGGATTATTTGGCTGAAATTAATGTTGAAACAAGATAGGGTCAGCCCTCTACATACATGGATTCAGCCAATTGCAAATTGAAAATATTTGGTAAAAAAAAGATGTTGTCTATTGAATAGCTATGGTCTATTTTTTGTTATTAATCCTTAACAATACTGTGCTCTTTCAATGTCTCCTTGCCTGTCTCCCAGTCCTTCCTTTGAATTTATGTGGAAGCCTTGCTGACCCCACCACACTTGCATTCCACATGCCAGTAAAACCAGCACCACATGCACAATGTCAAGACCTGCTGCCAGTGGAAGCAGTACCCAGGCTCAACTGGATCATGGCTGCAGTGGCCTCTCAATGGCTGGATGGTTGAAATGAATCTGGGGAACTAATTCACTAGAAGGTGCTTCTTGAGTAGGGGTCCCAGAGATATACTTCTCAACTGAAAAGCTGACAATTTTGTATCCTAGAGACTTCCATGGATGGACTCTTGTGGATTCCTGAGATACCCTCAAGGCAACTTCTTGACCCTATACAAAGTATGTGGTTTCTTTTTAATGATACTAATCTCTTTGGCACCATGTCTCCTTTCACCTCAATATTTGTTTTTTTGTTTATTTTTTATTTTTTGAGACAGGGTCTCTCTATGTAGTTGAGACTGACTTGGAACTCACTATGTGGCCCAGGCTGGTCTCAAACTCGCAGTGATCCTCCTGCCTCGGCCTCCTGAGTGCTGGGATTACAGGTGTGTGCCACCATGCTCAGCCTCACCTCAGTTTTATACTTGATTCTTTCTGGGCAAAAATTGAAGTGTTTCAAATTTTTCTTTTCTTCCTTTTGCTCCCGATTCTCACTATAAAGCTGACCAAAAGTGGCCAGCAATACCCATGCCACAGCCTGAATGTTGGGCTGTCTTGAAATTGCTTCACTAGATTAATTAGTCCACTGTCTTCAGTCTGAGTCTCCAGCAAAGTCTCAATACTTGGGTAGAATGTAGTTTTTTGTTTTGGCCAGAGTATAACACACATGTCCTATAGTCCAACTGCCAATAGAGTTCCTCTTCCCACCTGAAACCTGAATCTAGCCTTTAATGTTCATGTGTCTATTAGCATCCTGGTCTTTTGAACTCTGACAAGAATCATCCATCAAGCTCTGTTTACATCATTCTAGGGTTTCTCTAGCCTGTTTCTCCAAATTTTTCCTAACTCCTCCTATAAATCCATTTCAAAGGCTTCTAAACCACACGGTCAGGTATAGTCACACCAATGACCCCACTTCTCTGATCCTAGTGTTCTGTATCAGCCTTCTTTCCTGTCACTGGACACAATATTTGAATACACATAACTTAAAGGAGGAGAGGTTTACTTTAGTTCATGTTTTCAGTCTCAATGGGCTGGCTCCATGTTAAGAACATCATGGTGGAAGGGTATAGTAGGACAAAGCTGCTCAGTTCATGGCAGCTGAAATGCAGAGCAGAGAAACAGTGTCAGAAAGGAATAGGCAAGGGGTCGTATGTAGTACCTAAGGCCACTCCTCCATGGCCTACACAGGTACACCTAGGAGCATGCTCTACTAATTTGCTATGCATTTCTCATTTCAATGAAGTTGATATATCAGGATTAATGGTCACAATACTTATGTAACATTTATATTGTATTAGGTATTTTTTTAAGAGTAGAAAGAATTTATTAAGAAAAAGATAGCTTATGTCTAAGAGAGACAGAAGGGGGATCAGAAAGTGGGTTATCTGCCCACCACACTTCTCAAAGTAATTTAGAGTTGGTTTAAAGTATAGGGGAGATATGTATGGGTTATGTGAAACTACTGTATCATTTTATGTAAAGAACTAGGACATCTGCACATTTTGGTGTCTGTGGAGGCTCCTGGAGCCAATCTCTCAAAGTTGCTGAGGCACAATTTAGATATAAGATATTCAATTTAGATTACATTGTGTTCTATATCAAAAGAGGTGAAATCTGTGAGTTCAGAGCTCATGCTAAGGCAAATTATCCACATTCCTCTCTTATTATTCCATTAAGTACTAGAGTGATAGACCTAGCACTGGAAAGTCAAAGCTTCATATTGTTGGCAAGAAAAATCCTGTCCCAAAGAATGTTCTGCTTCAGAATCTACCAAGGACGACCAACTCTTCTGTGGAGCATATCAACAGCCATAGCCAAGCAAAAACAAAGTCTGTATCACTGGGTCTAGAACCCATACTGTTTCCTACGTGAAAGTACACTGATATCTGGTGAATGTTCTCCGTGGGACTGGTTACAATCAAGTTCTCACGATAAAAGAAGAATGGTATTTATTTTTCATTTTGTTTTTTGAGATAGGGTCTTGCTATGTGATTCAGGCTGGCTTCAAACTTGTGATCTTTCTTCCCCTGCCTCCGAAGTAGGTACTATTTTTTAATTTAAAAAAAGTTTAATGTAAGTACCATATGTTTAAATTGGATTTTCTTGTGGAAAATAGACTTTAAAAAGTGTTGTATTATGTTAAATTAATTTTTTGCCCATAAAATGAGATTTTTTTCATTTGTGCATTCAATGACTCTAGCTGATTTTCCCAAAATATGTCACATATTCAAACATTTCCACTGAGCTAAGAATAGGAACAAACTGTTAGAAAGAGGAATGATGGGTGAGAAGTAGACCTGCCAAGAATGAATAATTAAAAATGATCCTGGATCGAAAAAAACAGAGATTTTCCCCCACCCCCATATGTTATAACATCTTACAACAGTAGCACAAATGTTTCTATGATTTATAACATAAATAGCAGAATTCTTTAGGCTTTGGAACTTAAAATATAAATTCTCACACCTCTTACATGGGGCCATAGTGGGGTGGATGCAGCTCTCTTGCCCTATGGCTTTTTCAAAAGCAGATAACTGATTTTTAAAATCATCACACTCTTCTTGTTTCTAATAAAATACAATGCTTATTGTATAAAGAATGTTCATTAGCTATTCCTATCTCCAGGGAAGACTGAGAGCTAGGAATGGGATTCAACTTCCTCAGAAGGTGCTAAAGTTGGACGTAGGGAGGTTTTCCTGCATCCATGAACTATGAAGCACAGAGCAGGTCCTGATGAGTGTGCTTTTTCTGTCCCTGGAGAACTTACAGATGATAACATGGCATACATTTAAGGGTGGGGTAGGGCAGTGAATGCAGTAATAGAATCAGGAATGCAAAATATTAGTTATGGAATAACAGGCTGCTCAGTTGCTAAGGAATCCTAAAAATAGGGTATGGATGACTGACTGGAAGGTGAGAGGGGTGGCTCGTTCTGAGGGTCTCATTGGGCCGCCCAAACTTGGCAAAGGCAGTGCAGAGCTGCTTTTTGGAGCTAGAGTCCGAGCAAAAAATTGGACAGCCAAGTCTGAATTCCAGCCATCTTACAAAGTTATTCTTGACAATAGCCTAGAAATCTTGCCCTGCAGACCAACCTCACAAATACGGCCCTCAGACTCACCGTGGTGGCCCAAGTCTCAGGTTCCTTATACACTGAGTAGAGGTTCCCCCCAATTCCCTGCAAATGTGTGCATGTGCACAGTCCACTCTCAAGCCCATCTACTTTTCAGGCTAAGTCCTCGACTTGGGCAAGGTTGAGTAACAGACTCCTACCCATCTGCCACAGTGTGCGAAGCGGACTATGTGCACTCTGTAATGGGAGGAATCTAAGGGATGAAGAAAGGGTGGATTTGGGAGCCACGTTGTTTTTGTTTTCGCCCTGGACCAGTTGATCTTTGTGGAATTTTTAGTGTGATGGTGACCTCAAAATATTTTAATATATGTGATGCTGAAGCGAGCACGACCTCAAAATATTTTAAGAAGGGTTCACTGCTTATTAGCTAAATGGAGAAACTCCTAGGGAATAATGTGCTGGAAAGTTTGCCTGCACATTGGCCGTACCTTCTAAGTCGTAGCCAATCAATGTCATGTTGCTTGTTACCTCTAAAAGAGGTTCTGTTAGGGATTGGGGCTTTCATCTGTTATTTCCTGCTTGGTGGGTTTAAAAGAATTCTGATGTTGCTATAGCAAAGGGCTTGGCTCACCAGTTTATTTTTCTTTCGGTTAGGGTAAAATATCATAGGGATGATATTTGGTTGCTGTGTGGATATTGGAAGGATGACAGGAAAACTGACAGAAGAGAGAGACATGGAGGGGACCTCAGTTGAGGAATGGGACCCTAACTCTTCTCCTCTCCGCAAGTCAGGGGTGCTGCTGTGGGACATAGCAGCATTTATTTGTGTTCTCTCAGTCCTTTTGATGCCTTTGTCCATTCTTTGGAAAAGCTGGGTCCAAGAACAGGGGCTCTGGGCTGTGTTTCCAAAGATTTTAATTTTATCCTTGATAGCAATTATTATTAGTTTGTGGGGTTGTTGGCTTAGGCAGTGACTTTGAATACCAAGGATATCCCAACTCCAGGAAAAATCTTTTTGGTAAATATCTTCATTGTTATTCACTGCTTGAAGTCCTTATCATTTCCTAGACAGTTCTGTTAAATGTATAAGGCAAAAATTAAAAAAATTTTATATTATTGTCAGATAATATCACATTATAATATGACTGGCTGATAAAGGCATAAGAACCAATTATTTTTTAATTTAAAAATTAAATATAATTTAGACAGTAAATTTCACCTTTCTTAGTGCGTAGTTTTTAAAAAAAAAAATTTTTTTTTTGGTACCGGGGATTGAACTTGGGTCCTTGCACTTGCAAGGCAGGCCACCGAACTGCTGAGCTAAATCCCTGGCCCTTTTTTTCAAATATTGACAAACACACGTAGTCATGTAACCACGACTACAATCAAGATATTGATCGGTTTGGTCATACCAAAAAGATTTCTTTATATCATCCTGATAATATTAGATATTATTCATGTCGCTACTGGTCAAACCTTTCTCTAAACTCCAGCAACCATTGGTCTGTGTTCTGTTCCCACCCGTTTGCTTTTCTAGGCATTTGTGAAAATGGGTTATACAGTATGTATTCTTTTTAATGTGGTTTTTTAAAATCACTTTGTGTAATATACTTGAGATTCAATCATGTTGTTTTGTGCGTTGATGATTTGTCCCTTTTTATTGCTTAATAGTATGTCATTGTAAAGACATACTAGAAGTTATTTATTCCCTCAATTAAGGGATTGCTTTAGACTGAATTGTGTCCCATTTAAGTTTATATGATGAAACTCTATCCCCACAATGTGACTGGTTTTGAATAAGGCATGTAGGAGGTGATGAAAGTCAAAGGAGTCCATAATTTTTGGCCCTAATCCTATCGTGTTGGTGGTGCCCTATGAGAAAAAGAAGAGTGAGGCTGCAGCTCAGTAGCAGAGTACTAGCAGGGATGATGTCCCAGGTTCAGTACCTAGCACTGAAAAAACAAAAATCTCAGTATAAGAAAAGAAAAAGCATCAGTGCTCCCTGACTCTAACCACATACTCTGAGGAAACGTTATGTGAACGCACTGCAAGAAAGCAGCTGCCTGCAAGTCAGAAAGAAAGCTCTCACTGGAAACCAAATTAGGCCGTAGCTTAATCTTGGATGTTTGGCCTCCAGAACTGTGAGAAAGTAAATTTCTATTGTTTAAGCCACCCAATCTGTGGCATTTTGTTATAACAGCCCAAGCAGCCCACTGGTCAGGAACAACCTAGCAAGAATTCTAGTCATCCACTATTAGTTACTAATAAGGGAATACAGTAGTTGCATGACAAGTGAGTCATCCCCTAAATATATTGGCCATGGTGGATGGTTTCCACTTTCTAGTGAGCTAGACAAAAATTCAGGAGAAAAGCAGAGGACTCACAGCTGGAACACCAGGTTTCATTTCACTGTGGAGAAAAATGAAAGAAAACCCAGAATGAGACAAGATGACTAAGTTCACAGACAAAATGATGCTACTGACTGCTCTCTCAATTATTTTTTGAGTAGTTCTGCCTAAAATAAGGTTAACAGTGTAAGTGTGAATTTTCTTCCTTCCACCAATAAAGAGGAGAAAACTTAGTTCTCAGGTGGACTTTGAGAGTGTGCTTTTTAGACAAAAGATGTCTGAGAAAGGAGTCACCTGCAGGGGTATTTGCTAAAAAGCAGGTTCCCAGTTTTTGGGGACCTCACTTTCCTAACAGATTTCTTTCTCCTTTCCTTGTAAAGACCTAACCGTTCCTCAGAGATGGTTCACTTCTTCCCTGCACCATTTGTACATATCAAGCAAATGGCTACATTTAAACTATCATGCCTGAGATTCAAGTTCTGTCTCCCAGAAGGATATATACAAACCAACTGTGGTACGTTTATACATATACACATTTAACATACAGACTGCATACAGATATTTTATTTCAGTACATTTACATAGAGAAAGCCAGATAAGTTGATGTTGCTGAGAAAAACACACCTGAAGGAAAATGATTGCCTTTCTACGATTCTTGGGTTTCTGTGCATAGGATCCTTTAGTCAAATCCTAGCTATCAGGGCTGCTAAATGATACACATCCTTTCATCCTCTCACACCTTTTAGTGGGTTCAACCCCGAAAGGCGAAAGATCCTGTGGGCATCACCATAGGGCATCAGAGGAAGACAGCTGTCCCTGGCTTCTGCTCAACAATCTGCAATGAAAAATGAATGTTTCAGTGCCTCTAAATAGTCTGCTTAATAATTTGGAAAGCAAAATGCATCTTTCTGTTGCTCACTAAGCATTTTTGGCAAGTAATTTGTGCACATTTATCTTCTCTGACGTTGCCTAATGGAGCTAACTCTCTCCTCTGGAGCATGTTGAAATGTATGTATGCTAAAATGGATGCATTCTGCACCTTGGGTGGGTGTGTGTCCCTTGGATGGAAGCAGCCCACCTTGGGCGTAGAGCCTACAGAGTTAAACTAACAAATTCTCCAGTCGCTATTTGTTATTTTAACCTCTGAGATTTGAGTAAGGTCTCACATCTTTTAGAGCCAGACTCTGGAGGTTAAATTTTTTTTAAAGTAAAGCTTGTCAAATACATTCCAATTTAAAAACATTCCATTTAAAACAGAGTGAGAAATCAAGAAGAAGTTAATTAAAAGGAATATTGTGAGTACTTTATCCATGTTTTCATTTCTGTACCCCAAGAAAGTGATGACATAGAAAAATGTGCCTTATTGAGAAAGTTGTATAAATAGCTTTAGAACTGGGACAGTAGCTTATGGTGATAGTGATGATGACAATAAGGACAACAACAAAAAAGACAAAGAGGAAGGGGAGTTGTTGGGATTTTTTTTTTGGTCCATAATATCTTAAGAATGTCTGATTAGAAAAACATGATCTTCAAACTAAGAAAAAAGAGGGAGAGCAGCCAGAGAAAAAACAAATCCAAGAACTGTGTTTACATTTCATCAGCCCTCAAATGCAGGCAAGAAATGGCACAGATCATAAAGGAAAGGTGATGCTTTTTTTTTTATTACTGAAATCAAGTATGTACAGGCTCCTTCAACTTCTTGAGGAAAGAATTCTAGGAGACGACTGTTTTTGCTGCAGGGGCATGTTAACTGTTCTGATTATAAACCTTGGTGTGGCAAGGCTTCCACACCCGTCTTTACCAATTCATGCCTCTCAGTTCAACACCCAACACTGACAGTTAGCTACTCAGTCCAAGAAAGCTGATGAAATATTACTAGGGTGGTTCTTTGTATATAAACCTAGTTGCATTTGATCAAATGTCACAGTCAAACATCTATTGAAAACTCTGAATAATTGAAAGTTACAGATGATTATAAATATGTCAGTCATTCACTGTGAAAAGCATAGCAAGTAAATGTTTTTAAAATTTTGGGACTCTTGTCTTTCAGGATGGTTTCCATGCTGGGCATATGGCTCATGCTTGTAATCCCAGTCCTCAGGAGGCTAACGCAGAAGGATTGTGGCAAATTGGAGGCCAACCTGGGCTACATTGAGTTCAAGGTCAACCTGAACTATATAGTGAGACCTCATCTCAAAAACAAAACAAAATGTACACACACAGAAACACAGACACCAAATAAAAAGAAGGATTTCAAATGTTCAATGCTGCATTTAGGAGTTAAGATTAAAGAAGTTTCAAAGGAGACATAGGCCAAGACAGTCAGTATGTTTTCTTAAACTGTGACTATTCTCATCTAAGCACCAAAATAGGTTTCCCAAGGCAGTCTTTAAATTTCTTGTTCTCATTTTTTGCTTAGGAAATTCTTATTTCTACTACTTGAAGGAAAAATAAAATGACATGAGGATTTTCATCCTTATCCCCAACCAAAATTTAGATCAAGCCTTTCTTTTCCCCACCCATGGTGTCCACTATTGGATTTGTGCGCTCAAAATCTGTTAATGTGACTGTAGAGACAATGTGGGAAAAGATGAGCAGGCTATAATAACAAGCAAAGAAGCCAAGGTTCAATATTAAGTTCTTGAAATGATTAAAGTTAAGTTAAAATTCTATATACATACTGATAAAATTCAAAGGAGACATGGGATAAATGAGGTCAAATGATATGTTGAAAAATGAGATTTGAGATAAGTAATTTCTATTTTAAATTTCCAATGCTGTTGTTATAATGTTTGTAATAAATAACATCCTTTAAAGAAAGAATTTGGTAGATTTGTACCCTGAAAACTGCAAAATGCTGCCAACAGAAATTCAAGAAGATACAGTAAGTGGAAAAACATCAGTGTTCACAGATTGGAAGACTTAACTATTGTTAAGATGTCAATACTACCAGAGTGTTCCATAAATGAAATCCATTTTTTACCAAACTTTCAACAACACGTTTTTCCCCCAGAAAGAGAAATACCTATCTGTCTAGAATGAACAAAACAAACCTTGAAAAAGAAAAAGTTGGAATTCTCACACTTCCTGATTTCAAAACTTATTACAAAGCCATTTGAGAAGTCAGTGATGGTCCTGACTCTGGAGAGGATGAGAAGGTCCAGGGTTCCAGGCCGGCTAGGGAAAGTCCTAAGCCCCAGAGTCCTACTCACGCTGGTGGGGCTCTGCCCATACCCTTAGGGTTCACAGTTTCCATGTCTACTCTTCAAGCTTCCGATTCCAACTACCTGCAACTCTCAGAGTTCTTTTGACCAGCAGAGCCTACTTGACTTCTCCTGCGGCAGGCAGGAAGAACTGGAGAGTTGATTCCTCCTCCCAGTGAGGCTCACCCAGTGACTGACCCAGTGCATTAACACCCATTCCTTCATGCATAAGTGTGGTGACTCTGCTATGTCTTCTACACTGGCTTCCATGTTTCTCTGGTAGGGTTGAGCTCCTATCGCCCAGCAAAGTAACCTGCTTGCCTTCCTCCCCCTTCCTTTCCACTCCACTACCAGGGCTTTCTGGGCTCATCTTCCCAGTGAACTACATCCCACTCATTTCCTGTCTCAGCTTCTGCCTTGGAGGAAGCCAGTGGAAGAACTGATGAAAAGGATATAACATACACCTAAATGAAGACAATGGACCCTGGCATAGAGCACATAAAATCCCAGAAGACAGAGAAGATCCCAGACAGTGTCATAGATAGCTTTCCCATCATTCTCTATAGTACGATTTTATTTTAATAAAAGTATTTCTTTCTTTCTCCCCATCCATCCATGCATCCATTCATCCATTTCATATTTATCTATCTGTAGCCATGCATAGAAAGATATCTACAGTTATATCTATTGTTAGGCCTAATTATTTCAACATAGGACAATCTGGGGGTGTGTTTAACTTTTATATTTGTCCTTATCTACTGCATACATCTTTATAATAAGGATATACTTTTTCATAATAAGGATATATTTTTTAAAAAGCGTGGTGATTTTTTTCTTAAAAAAATAATGACTAGGGGCGTGGGGAAAACAAGTATTGGTCAAAGGTCACAACGATGCGTGTGTTCTGGAGATCTAGTTTATAGCATGGTGACTATAGTTAATAGCATATAAACTATATTTTAAGATTACTAAGACAGTAGATCTTGGGTATTTTCCTCACAGAGAAGGTAACTATGTGAGGTGAAGGGTATGTTAATTAGCTTGACTGTGGCAATTCTTTTACAGTGTGCGCAAATATCAAGTCATTATATTGTACACTGATATATAAAAATTTTATCAGTCATCCTTCAGTAAGGCAGGAAAAAGTGCAAAGACTAGAAACAACTATACCAAGAGGTGAACAAGAGTACTTCATTGTCGATGGTGTGAATATAGTTAACTATGATTTTTAATTTTGACTTTTTGCAATTTTAATGAAAACCTAATTTCTCTTTTTCTTTTCATACAGGGTTGATGAACAATAGCAAAATAAGCAGGTTTTAGATAGATAGTATGAGGCGGAGAGAATGCTTTAAAAGAGTAACTCAGCAAAAACCTTTCAGGAAGGTAAATTAACAATATAAACCAGAAGCCTTCAAAATCTCTTTGCTTTTGATCCAGTGTATACTTAGCCTGAGGCATGTTTCCCAAAGCTTGACAATCACCTCAACTCAGAATCACCAGCGTCAGAATCACCTGAGCACCTTCAAAGACATCCAAATCAATATCTCTGGAAATGGCAGATTAGCAGATTCTCCTGATAATTCTTATATACACCGTAGCTAAAACCCTACTGGCCTGGGGAAATGGGAGACTTATTCATTAATGTTCATTCTTTACCAAGAGTCAGGCTCTGTTCCCTACTCTGGGGACACACCCATAAATAACACAGAAAATGTCTTTGTGCTCATGGAAATTCTCTTTTACTCATTTTTTTTATAAAGAAGCTCATCATAGTATTATTTATGATAAAATTAAGAAGCAAAGAAAAAATACAATGATCTTTCAAAGAATGACATGGGAAGCTGTTCACTGTGCTACCAAGTGAAAATAATTATGATCCCTTTGAAAAACACATATATGCATCGATAGAAAAGACTACAGGGAAATAGAGATACACAAAAATAGTGATTTTAGTTGTCTCTGGAAAACATGATTATACATTATTTCTATTTTCTTTTATGTTCCTTTTCATAATTTCTAAACTCCTGGATAAAATGTAGTAACTAATGTAATCAGAAGAAAATGTAATGTTTGAGAAGGTTGATTTAAAAACTAGGGAGAATAAAAATTTTCCATTGCTACATTTATCCTTTAAAACACATTTTGACAATATTGGGACATGGTTACTTTCATTTCTGAGCTCAACATTAGAATTTTCTATTCAATTTTGATACCTATTCATTTTTAGCTTTAGTCTTAAGTGAACTTTCAAATTCTTTATGAAAGGACAATTCAAGATTCTTGATGTTTTTCCTTAGATTTTTATTCTTTTTCAAATATACAGCATAATTTTCATATAAAAACTAGAGAAATACAGACTACAGGAAAAAAAAGTAGTCGTGATTCCAGTTTTTCTCACTTCCTAAGAAAACTACCTTAAAGGGTTTGGTTATGTTCTTCCAGCTTATTTTTATTATAAGTAATATTTATTATATTTGTACATATACATTCAAATATATATATAGTTTTATTTACTTTAATACTTTATATACCAGCTTGGACCTTGCTACTTCATCTCACCAAGTATCTTAATTTCCATGTCGTCTCATAGAGATCTATTTCATCTTTGTAATGACTGTATATATTATAA